AGTCTCTGGTCTGTGACAGTTTATCAGATTTTCCTTCTTTTTGATTATACTGACAGTTGTAAGAAGTACTGGTCAAGTATGTTATAGCATGTCTTTCAATTTGGGTTTAATATTTTCCCACGGTTAGACGGAGCTCATGGGTTTAGGGAGGGATAACACAGAGGCAAAGTGCCCTCTCCTCATATCATATGAAAGATACATAATATCAACATAATGTATCACTGATGATGTTAACCTGGAACACTTGAGCGAGGCAGTGTCTGCCAGGTTTCTTCACTGTAAAGTTACTTTTTCCTCCTCCTACCCTCTACTTTTTTGTTTGTTTGTTTTTAAGATGGAGCTTTGTTCTGTCACCAGGCTGGAGTGCAGTGGCATGATCTCAGCTCACAGCAACCTCAGACTCCCTGGTTCAAACGATTCTCCTGCCTCAGCCTCCTGAGTAGCTGGGATTACAGGTGCACGCCACCACACTCAGCTAATTTTTGTATTTTAGTAGAGATGGAATTTCACCATGTTGGCCAGGCTGGTCTCCATCTCCTGACCTCATGATCTGCCCACCTTAGCCTAGCAAGGTGCTGGGATTACAGGCATGAGCCACCACACCAGGCCTACCCCCTACTTTTTGGAAGCAAGTCACTAAGCACAGTTCACACTCACCTTGTAGTGGCAACAATATCTATATTAGTTATTTGAAATTCCTCTGTGCAGGAGCCATTCTCTTTAAAACCTACTCAATCAGGAGTTTCCTACCATCATTTTATTAAAAGTGCTCATATCAAAGTCACTAACTTACTCCAAATTGCTAAATACAATGGTAATTCTTCACCTTCTTCTTATCAGTCAGCAGTATTTGTCATAATTGAACACTCTCTCATTCTTTATATGCTTTACACACTCCTGTTTTTGTTTTGTTTTGTTTTTTCCTACTTCTCTAGTGGCTCCTTCCCAATCTCCTTTGTTGGTCCCTCTTTTCTCCTGGTTTCTTAATATCAAAGTACCCAAAAGTTCAATTATTCATCCTCTTTTCTTTCCCATCTTTATTCATTCCCTTAGTGATAGTATCCAGTTGCATGACTATAAATATTTATATTCTCCCAAATTGTTATATCCTGGCCAAACCTCACTCCCAAGCTCCAAATTCATATACACAACTGCTTACTCAACATCTCAACTTATATGTCTAATAAACACTATAAATTTAATATGTCCACAATCAAATTCCCAATGTTCTCTTACTGCAGATTTAGCTCTGCCTCAAGTTTTTCCTATCTTAGTTCATGGTATATACAGCCTTGTAGTTGCTCAAGTCTAAAAATCCTGGAGTTCACTCTTTACTTTTTCTCTTCCTTTATATCCAATCATCAGGAAAGCATGCTAGCTCTACACTTAAAATTTTATCACTGTCCATAGCTACCACCCAGTCTTACTAGATTTTTGTCATAATCCCCTAACTGGTCTCCTTGTTTCCACCCTACAGTTTATTCTCACTACCACGGGTCAAGGTGATCCTTTCAAAATATAAGTCAGTTCATGTCATTAAACCAAATCCTACAATAGCTCCTCATTTCACACAAAATAAAAGCAAAAGGCTTTACAATGGCCTACCATGAATGCTTGATACCTCTCTAATCTAACTCATCGCTTTTCTTCCCCTTGTTCACTCCACTCCAGCTACCCAAGCCTCCTATTCTTCCCTGTACTTGCCAAGAACTTTCCTACTTTCAGGCCTTTGCTCTGGCTCTAACCTCTGCCTAAAATGCTTTTCTTCCTGCAATAATAACTCACCCTCAAGATGCTACTATAAAAATAAGACCAACCTAGAACATCTACCAGAATTCTGATTTCCTTAACCCAGGTGCTTCTTCTTTCTTCGAATTCATTACCTTAAATCATACTACAAATTTTCCTTATTTTGTTTATTATTTATTATCTGTTTTCTCCCGTAGAATGTAAGCAAATATCTTTATTGTTGTTGTTGTTCACTGATTTATTCTAAGGGCATGGAATCAGTGCCTAATAGAGAGCACATATTTTAAAAATTGTAAAGGTAATAAACAAATTATCTTATATAACATCTTGTGCTAATCTTTTACTTCTCTTGAAAAACTCCATTTCTGTATTATTCATCAGTGCTTGACTGCTTAGACCTCTTAATAATAACAGGCAATATGCATAGAGTATTTGCTATATACCAGACACACTAAGTACTTTACATGCTCATTTAATCTTCACAACATTGCTGTGAAATACACGCTACCATTGTCCCCATTTTACATAGAAAGGAAAGCAATTTGCCCAAGGGCACAGCTATTAAGAGGGCCAGAATTGGAACCCAGGCAGCATGCATGAGAACATACAATCTTAACCAATACTCAATTGCATTTTTCACAGATCTTATGAGGCACCCCTAGGAAATAGCCATTCTCACTAAATAAATAATGAACAGTCACATAAAGTTTGAAAGAGAAAGGCATTCATGTTCTAGTGGTGCTAAAACTGAAAGGTAATGTTGAATTGGCTTAACAAGAGGAAACAAGCCATGAGGAAAAAGGACAGAGCATATGCATAAAAAAAGAAAAGATGTGACTGTGTAACCCCAAAACAGAGTAAACAATGTGTAAACCCACAAGAAGGGCAGACAGACAGACATCGGTTTATAGGAAATCTCAAGTCCTAAGAGAATTATCTGACATCTTGAAATAGGATTCTCTAAGTTTTGTGGGCTTACCATAATTCTATTATTTGAGTGGATTTCTGCTATCTAACATAAAACCATCTCTAACTAGAACAATATCCATGTTACTACGGACCGCTTATAAAAATCTCAATTTTTGTTCAGATGAAATAATTAAATCAATATGGAAGGCAGTACAACATAGTAGAAGTGAATAGGTTTGGGAGAAAAAAAATTAGATTTACGTCTAATTTCTACCATGTTTGCTAGCTGTATGACCTCAGGCAATCTCCTTGGACTTTAATTAGACTGTCTATAAAATGGGAATAATAACACATGCCCAGCCTGCTTCAAATGTTACTGTATTAACCGAAACAAAATTTGTAAGTGGGCTTTGAAGGATATAAACTGCTCCACAAATATTACCTATTATGATGATGATTCCAGATGTGAACTCACTTTAGTTACTCATAAAGAAGGATGCCTTCTCTTTCCAAAGGTAGATAGTATAATTATTCAAACTGTGTCTGGTTGGTAATAAATAATAAATCACTTTATGTGTATGTGTCTATACATGTACACACCACCATAATAACCAAAATAAGTAAAAGTGTATAAATGTTTCTGTATTCATATGCAAAGATATTGAACGTATAGTCGCTTAAAAATACCCAATGACTAAGGAAGAAATAACATTTAGTATTCAATGAAATGCTGCCAAGAATTACATGGTTCTTCCTTGATAATCTCCTACTGATTCTTCCTATTATTAGCTGACCTGTACAGTGTTTCCTGAAACCCAAGCTGAAAAGTTAGGCCTTTCTCTTAAAATGTCACAGTAAACCAATGGCACAGCCAGAACTGAACCCAAGATTCTTCTGAGGTCAAAGCTATTTCTATCAGACCATGTTCTTGCTATGCTACTTGTTATAACATTGTTTTTAAGAGATTGCTGAATTGAATAACATAAAAACAGTTACATGAAGAGTTATAATGAAGAGATAGTTCACAAAATAAGTAATAAACTTCCTGTCCAGAAAAAGAAAACACTATAATCTAACACAAGCAGGACTTCCTAATTTTCACTCCAACTTTCCTTTTCTGTAATCTTCGTGATTATAAAGGAAGTTAGCTATTTTTCAGATACATAAAGGAAAATACCTAATATTTCTGTACCAGGCAATAGAAAAGAAGCTCTGTAAAATCAGGGGATTATCCCAAATAAAGTCCAAGGTAATTTTCAATTGAAAGAAAAGTTTGCTATAAGTAGAAATTAATCACTTCCAATGTCCTATCTTATAATTTTTTAAAAATCTTAATTCAGAGAAAGAGAAAATAACTCCAAAATCAGAAGTAAATGCTCACCTGGCTTCCAGCTGTCTTTACCTATAGGTCAGTATCATTAACCTTTTGCTGAATTTCACCATCATCGTTGACATGTACATTTTAAATGTCAATTTTTCCTAGAGTAACTGACTTCCAAACTGCACCACCTCTATAGGTAAAACAGATGGCCAACAGCCTTTCCCTTTTATTGTGAAAAAAAAATTCTTCTAAACTCCTCTCACTTTAGGCACACTACAACATCCAGTGAATAACAGATTGAGGCTACTATGCAATCTTGAGTTTCCAAGAGAGAGAACTTCACATCTTTTTAAATTTTAGAACTACACACCAATAGACCAAATTCCATTTGCCAAGGTACTGCATTCAATATATGTAAAATATCCCTCCTCTCTTTATGAGATTCCATAAACCTCTATAGAAATATGACTGTTGCCTTTCTTGCAGATTTCCTTGATCCCAAATAGCTAGTCCTTTTGCAACAGATTACAAAGTGATAAAGAGTAATTTACCTTTCATACACAAGATAACTCAAAAATAAAGGCTGAGTCTGACACTAACCAAGACCTATGACTGCAATATCCTTGACATCAATAACTGATGCAAGCAAAATGTGATTCCACATTCTGTGTTTGTACATGAACTGCAATTCATTTGATTGGAACCTGATGCTCACTATATTCTAAAAACATATATATTTTCATATAATCAATGGCAAGTAAGAGAAATTTATCCTAACAACTTCAGAAAGAAAAAAATGTTTAGTAAAAACAATGAAATTAACAAAATGAATTTTTTAGAAAAAATAAATTTCTCAAAGGTGACCAAAGAAAAGAACAAGGAATTTCATTTTCCACTTTCACCATTAGTGGCCTATCAGGATGAGCATGTAGAAAGTTATAATGAATTCAGACATAAGGCCCAGAGCTTAGGACATCTGTCCACATATTGGCTTGGCTGCCTTCATTAGGAGCAGGTTTACCTCAGTAAGCCCAATATTCTTCCTTTTAATGACATTCTGCAGAGAGTTGCTCAGAGTCCTGGTTAGCAAAAGGTTTGTTGATTTACGAATCATGTCATCAACTTCAGTTGAGCTGAAAAAGAAGCACTACGAGTCAGCCATAGCAGGTAGCAGAATTATTTAGGCAAACAGGGTGCCAGTGGTACTTGTGGTAATAATAATAAAATAATAATAGCAGCAGCAAGTAATATTTATTGTAAGTGAGATAAAGCACTATAAAAAACTCTCTTAGCTCTTATTGGCTAAAAAAATATCATTTGCCTTCATTTTTGAAAACTGGTTTCCTGTCTACAGACTTCTGGTTATTTTTTTTTTCTTTGAGTACTTTAAGAATGTCACTCCATTTTCTCTGACTTGTATAGTTTCAGAAAAGAAATCTATTATAATTCGTATCATTATACTATCATATAATTTTTATTTTTGGGAATGCCTTCTAAACATTCTCTTTACCTTTAATTTTCACCAGTTTGAATATGATGTCTTTAAATATTTTTGTTTGTTTCTTGTTCTTGCTATTATTGATCTGAATTGGGGTTCTCAAAATCTTGAATTTCTTGTTTGATGCCTTTCATTATTTTTTGGAATATTCTCAGCCACCATCTTTTAAAGTCTTTCTTCTTGTCAGTTCTCTCAGTCTTCTCCTACTTACATCATTTGAAATTGCCCTACAGATCTTGGGCACTTTGTTCTATTTGTTTCACCTTTTCTTCTGGGTTCCATATTCTCAGGCTAGCTCACAGTACACTGTTAGCAATACATTAAGACTTCAGTTGTTTTTGTCATTTTACATGTACGGCAGTTACACCTTTCCGATTCTGCCACAAGTGTGGGACTCTGTCTCCTTAGAGAGACAAGTCTCATCTTAGTTTTCAGGCTACTTAGTTTCCTGGTAACTGCACCTCTCTGATAAGTTCCGGGAAAGTTTTAATTTTATAGCTTGTCTGTCCCATTCCCCTCTACATTGTTAGAAACAGAAATAGAAGTATTTCATAGTAATTTGTTTTAAAAAATGCTGTGTGTGTGCATGAATTCACGTGGAAGCAAGATTAAAAGAAAAAACCATATAAGAAATGTTATTACTATGTGGTAGAGTTTGGGGTCATTTACATTGTTCTTCTTTGAGCAGTTCTATGTCTCCTGAATTCTTTACAAACATCTAATTTTATTATCATAATGTGAAAGAGGAGCTCTGATATATGTATGTGTAGATATTCTACTTTTTTAAGTTGAGTATGAATGCTAGAACATTATTTTACCATAGAAATGTCATTTATTTGCTATTTTTAAAAATCTTTCAAAAAGAAAGTTTTGTATATTCAGAACTCATGCAATTACAAATTTTGTCAATATTTATCATGCTCTTCAGCCTCTTCTGTCTAGTGTAAAAGAGAAAATTAAGAGAATTATTCTTAAAGCTGCATTAAAATCTGAATGCAAGAATTTCTCATTTTGAGAGCCTGCATTTAAAAGAAATAATTGGTTTTATACAAATTGTCTCATGTTCCATGTTAACCTCCACTACAAAACAGATATGATGAGAAAGCAATCTCTGTCACTCCAGGTTATAAGGTAAGCATATTGTAGGATATAAGATAAATGCCAACTGAAGGATAAAAGGCATCCAGCTTTTTTAAAAATCTGCCTGAGTTGAATGCTTTAATTTTAAATGTGAAAAATATCAAAGGAAGTTTTCAGGCAAAAATTTAACATATTCAGGCAAGAAAAAGGCATCTGACATTATCCTGTTACTAATATTATTCCTTTGCCATATTACCTTTCCATCAAAAGAAGATAGAAAAAATAATTTTGCAATGAACTTATAATGATTCATCTGCAATAATATATCTAACATACCCTACAGACAATTATCTGATATAAGGTCACTTATATTAATTAAGTGGGGACCAGGATGGTGGGGGATGGAAATCCAGGGTAAAAAAGTTTTGGTTTGTAACTTCAAAAGACAAATCTCATTTTCAAGAGAATTATTTCTGTGAAAACAATTACATTTTCAGAAAAAAGGACAAATTAATTGTACAAACCCCATGTTTCGTTTATTTTCTTAGTAAGAATAGTTAACAAAGAAGTGGCTCAAACTATTTCCCAACTATTTTTCTTTTCAGAATAGCCTGGCATACCATGCTTTTCATTCATTTCATACATACACTCATTTAAAAAAAAAATCTGAGCTGGGTACAGGGGATATTGTGCTGAACAAAGATAAAATGTTTCCATCCTGCAAAAGGAATTTTCTAACAATCTCATTTGTGTTTAGCTTGGCTTCTATGTTTTGCCAGCACTTATCATTAATTGCTCAGCTTCTTAATCAGACTAGGTACTCCTCGAAGACAGGGACCACATTTTCAGCATCTTAATTATTTCTCTACCAAGCAGCATCTGACACATAATATATTAGCCAAAATGTATGGTAAATTAACCAATACTTGAAAAAAGAAACAAAGGAACCTACACTTTAGCATGTACAGAAACATACATATACAAGAGCAATAATGTTTCCAAAGGATTTTATCTGATACTCCCCTTCTGGTCTTAACATTTCATTAAGTAGAATGTTAAAATTAGTATTTTTTGTATATATTTTTTTCTTTAAAGATGGGGGTCCTGCTATCTTGAACTACTAAACTAAAGCAATCTTCCTGCCTCAGCCTCCCAAAGTTATGGGATTACAGGACTGAGCCACTGCATCCAGCCTATAATTTTCTAGTGAATTCTCATTAATAGAACACATTAAAATGCAAATCTATAAAGAAAGTCAAAATTAAGATAGGTAACATAAACCTTTAAAATTATTCAAGTTACCAATCTTCTCTTTCATCATGACTATATAAATATAGCAGTGCTATGCAGTGAAGAGCTAATTATTAAGATTTCCAAAATCAGAGCTGATGGGAATATCAAATGTTTTTCAGAATATCTAAATATATGGAGTCACAGTCTTAGCATTGGTTGCATTTCTACTATATCATACCTTAGATGAAGATCTTCCGAAAACTTCAGACAAGCGTAGATAAATTCTTTAATTTGGTTGTAAACTTTTGGCACAAACTCGGAGAAAGGAAACTTTTTTGGAAATGACTGCTGTAAATGCAAGAAGTAATAAAATCAAATTACAAACCAACAAACATCGAAGATATTTATAAATTATTTAGGTTGCATAAAGAACATTATTCCACATTGTAAATTATTTCCTTAACAACCTCAAATATAATAAAATATCTCCCAAAGCTTTCTGATATTAAAAAGACATAAATTTAAATAAAACAGTAATTCAAATGTCCTTCATCATGGAAAGAGATAAACAAATTGTGTTACATACTCAACAATAAAAGGGAATCAACCATGATACATGCAACAACTTGGATGAATCTCAAAAGCATTATGTTATTTCAAAGAAGTCAGTCTCAAGAAATTATACACTATACAATTCCACTTATATGGCATTCTAAAAGAGGCAAAAGTAGATATAAAGAGTCCAGGTTGCTGGTGTCCCGGGGCCGGATTAAGGGAGGGGTATTATAAAGGGGCATCATTAAAGAATTCTTTTTTTGGTATAATAGAGCTGTTTGGTATCAATATTGACATAATGAATACATAACTAAATGAATTGTCAAAATCAAAAGAATTATATACAATGAAGGGTAAATTTTATGTTGTGGGGAAAAATTACTCTAAATTATAATAAAAACAAGTATTCCAAAGTGTAAACTGAATTAGAACATCCACAGCAATCCTCCAAACACTTCAGAGGTGACAGCCATCTGCTGATTCCCAAATCAGGAAATTCTGGTCTTCCCCAAAAAAAGTCCTTCATTGTCAGAAAGGTGACTAAAGTAAAGAAAAACAAGAAAGAAAGAAAAAGAAAAAAGAATCCTTTGAAAGTGTTTTAGAGATCTAACTCATTGAGTTGAAGGTAATGCTTTCAATGAAACTGATGCAATGAAAGCTGTTAAGAGGATAACAAAACAACCAGAGAGGTTTATTTTAAAGTATTCCTTACCTTTTCCAGTTCTATATCTTGAAATGGGAATTGTCCTACTACCTTTTTGTACACCTCTTCACTTGTTACTGGTATAGGACTGTAGTTGTCAGAATCAAGTATGTTTCTACAAATGGAAGGACAGACAAAGAGAAGGGAAGGATAAACAGATGGAAGGGAAGTGGGTTAATCACAAATACTTTTCTGATGAACTCTAATCCTAATACATATACTACAACCCAAAACAATCATTGCCCAGTCCCTACTATATTCCTTCCACAATATAGGTATTTGGCTTTAGATTTAAAGAAGACAAAAAGAAAACTATACTCTGAAACAAATGGATCGCAATTATAAACATGATCTCTTAGGATCTGAGATTTACAAATAGGTCAGAACATTTTAATGTAAGTGAGAAGTAAACAGCAAAAGAATGTATGCTCTAGAAAAGGCAAAGAGAATTTTCTGCTTGGTTTCATATGACATATGAACATATATTTGTGTAATTATTATTAGAGACAGGGTCTTCCTCTGCCACCCAGGCTGGATTGCAACAGCATGATCATAGCTCACTGTAACCTCAAACTCTGGGGCTCAAGCAATCCTCCCACCACAGCCTCCCAAGTAGCTGAAACTACAGTCACTTGCCACCATACCAGGCTAATTGTTTAACTTTTTGTAGAGATGGAATCTTGCTATGTTACCCAGGATGGTCTGAAACTCCTGGCCTCAAGGGATCTTCCCACCTTGGCTCCCAAAGTGCTGGGATTACAGACATGAGCCACTGCCCCTGGCCCATTGATAGGTTTTTTAAAATCATGTTCTATTCTAACTTTTGAAATTTACAAATAGAGTAATTTCAATAATAAGTTCAAACTATTTTCATTTACTTCACCTATTGCTCTATATCAATGATGACACTTTTTTAAAAATCTATAGGTTCTCTCTCCTTAAATAAACTGGGCATTCTCTAGTAGTAGAGACCATACTACCTAAATCAAAACAGAAGAGTCACTGAAGGTATCAGATGAGAGCCTCTAAGACTATGGATATATCACGTTATTAATTTTCAAGCATCTTGTAGAGATAATACTCCCTTAAATACAATTATATCATCATCTAAATCTAGGTTTTAGAAATGTAAATATTTATATTAATATACAGATAAATTGAACTATGTGATGATCAGAGATAAGTTCACAAACCATGAAGAGTAAGAGTAAAGGAAAAATGTAAGATCTTAAAGCTATAAGAGTTTGAAAACAGGACAAACTGATCAGAAAACGGGTCTTGAAATAGGCAGTATAATCAGGTAAAGTAAAGCAGGAAAGGTTAAAAAAGAGAAGAAACTCAAATGAGTTGACATGGGTTATGTGCCAAGAGCACAGTCCGAGGAGACATCTGTGAGATATGTGACAGAATAACTTTCTTATTATTATTGCATGTTGCAATAACTACTTAAATAACAGGCTTCAAACACTGGGCTGTAACAGGCCCCTCCGCTGTGTGTAGAGAGGGAAGATGATGAGGAACAACATGAGTGAGTCATCAAAACCGATTTTCCAAAAGCCTAAATTATTCCTAAGTGCTCAAATGCTACTCACTGTAACTGCAAGTGAAAACCAAGTAACAGAATAAGGTGACACCAAGATGATCTGAATGATAAACCAAGGAAACTGACACTTACCCAAGGAAACAAAGAGGCAAAATAGAGTTTGGCGACTTCCCACTGCAGTAGACACTAATACACTGAGACTGGATATCTTGGAAACACCATTCTGAATATTCTCACAGTTTATTTGAATTCTGGATAATAACCTAGAGTAGCTACAAAATATAAGCAACCTATACTTGCTGCCTATTCCATCTGAAAACCTTTGTGCATAAATACATGTGTGTATACTAACGCACATGAACATACACACACATGACTATAAATCATTTCTCACCTGAAAATACCTGCCCACTTCTTTAGCAGAGTCTCACTATATTGGTCTCTGATTTCTAACAGCATGTCAAAAAGCTGATTTACAGGGAAACCATACACCTGAAACATAATAAGAAAATAACTTCATTTTCGAAAGAGTTTTTTTTTTTTTAGCAAAATAAGAGAGATAAAGTACTGAAAAAAATTACATTCTTCGGACAGCAAATTAAATAAAACCATGTTAGAATCTTTCGCTCACACCAATTCAATATCTAGCATTTATCTCTCAAAATTTAAATAATACCTACCAAAATGTTTAAGCCAGTGAGAAAAAGAGTAAAATTAAAATCAATATATAAAGGGTATACTGTCAGCTAAGTCCTCCCTACAACCCTTCCTCTAAGTCCTACTACTATAGTAAGAGTTCACAGAAGGGAAAGTAAAAATGCTTCCAATCTCATCCACTTCTAATACGAGTCTATTAGATACAACATGTGTTTCAAATCAACAATTATTATTCAAGATGGTAGTTAAAGAAACTGCAGACCAGGTGCAGTAGCTCACACCTGAAATCTCAGTCAGCACTTTGGGAGGCCAAGGCAGGTGGATCGCCTGAGGTCAGGAGTTGGAGACCAGCCTGGCCAAAATGGTGAAACCCCATCTCAGGAGGCTGAGTTGGGAGAATCGCTTGAACCCAAGAGGTGGAGGTTGTAGTGAGCCAAGATTGTGCCATTGCACTCCAGCACTCCAGCCTGGGTGACAGAGTAAGACTCCATCTCAAAAAAACAAAACACTGCAGACTAACTCAGGTGCCATATATGAATTAAGAACATTTTGAAAAACTAATATAGTCAGTAATTTAATTAATTGATTTGACATGAGAGAAAAAAAAAGAGGCAGTAACTACACATGAAACATAATGGCTCAGGGTAAAGCCCAGGAAATGCTATAAAGAGATAAAAAGACCTAGTTCCTAGGAAAATAATAAACCCAACCTAAAACTACAAGGTAACTTATCCAAGCTTATGTAGATTTTTTTTTCTGTTTTGTTTTTTTAAAACGGAGTTTGACTCTGTCGCCCAGGCTAGAGTGCCGTGGCACTATCTCAGCTCACTGCAACTTCTACCTCCCAGGTTCAAGCAATTCTCCTGCCTCAGCTTCCCAAGTAGCTGGGATTACAGTTGCCCACCACCACACCCAGCTAATTTTTGCATTTTGAGTAAAAACAGGGTTTCACCATGTTCCCTGCTAGTCTCAAACTCCTGACCTCAAATGATCCGCCCACCTCAGCCTTCCAGAGGCTGAGATTACAGGTGTGAGCAACTGTGCCTAGCCAGATTTTTTTTTCTTTGTGACAGGGTCCCTATCACCCATGCAAGAGTGCAGTGACGAGATCATAGCTCACCACAGGCTTGAACTCCTATGCTCAAGCAATTCTCTCGCCTCTCCACCCACTCTGCCCAAGTGGCTGGGACTACAGGAATGTGCCACCACTCCCTGCTGATTTTTTATTTTTTGTAGAGATGGAGTCTCACTTGTTTCTGAGGCTAGTCTTGAACTCCTGGACTCAAGCAATTATCCTACCTCAGGCTTCCAAAGAGCTGGGATTACAGGCAAAAGCCACCAAACCGAGTCAAAAAAAAAAAAAAGATTTAGAGCCAATGAGACATTAATCTAGATAAGCATATGTAAACATACCTGAAGTGTGTCAGCAAAAAGCACAATGAGGTTCTTCAAATCTAACACAAGGTTTGGATCAGAGCAGTAAGACTGAGGTAAACAAAAGACAAAGGAGAAAAAACATATTAGTAAAAATGCAATTAAATTTTTATTTATTTAATTGTTTAATGCTTTACCTGGTAAATTCTTTCCCTAGATATAATTAAACACTTTCCCGGTATAAGGTAACACCAGATTCAGCCAGGGAACAGCTGAATACAGCAAGTTCAATAACCACGATTCATATTTTTAAAACTTGGGTATTGAAAAATGCACTTGTAAATAACTCATTGGTTAAAGAAGAAAACAAAATTGACCCATTTTAAATGAACAAGCATAAACTACTTCATATCAAAAACTATCGTATGTGGCTAAACCCATTTTCAAAATAAATTTATATCCCTTTATGTAAACATTACAAAACAAAAGATTGAAAATAAATAAAGTATGCACTCATCTCATGAAACTGAGGGAAAGCCAAATGAGCCATAAGTAAATGAGAGAATAAAATTAATTAAATTAAAAACAGAAACTAATGAAATAAAAAGATATGGAAGATTTGATTAACTGAACCAAAGATGAAGTTAAAAATAAAATCAATAAAATAAATAAAACTTAGAGAAACTGATTAAACAATAAAGAGAAAATAACGCTAAATAATATAAGAAATACCAAAGAGAAAATAAGAACAGAGGAAAACAGAAATTATAAATAAAGTCCATGTGTAACCTCATATCGACAAATTAGAAAAGTTAACTGACACGAAATATAATTTATGTGGGCAGGATACAAAGATGTGTATGTCATTATTGCAAAAGTTCACTGCTTTTGATATTCAAATTCTTTATTTATAATTTCTGTTACTTGCTCTCTCATTGATCTCTCAAAAGTCTTCAAAGAGGTGTTTTGAATTCTCCCATAATTATGCAGCTTTTCCATTTCTCTTCATATTACTAGCAGTTTTTGTTTTAAATATATTGATGCTTCCTTATAAAAGGACTATTATCTTTTCACTAAGTTTAAACTAACATCAGTATGAAATATCCCTCTCCTATCCCATTTGAAGATCTTTAACTTCAATTCTATTTTCCTCATAGAATACCACTACTTCTGCTTCCCCATCTTTACTTTCAACCTTTTCAGCTAATCTTAATTTAGGAATATCTCCTACTAAACATAGTATAAAATTTTTTAATACTTTGGCATTTCCTAGTGATATGGTTTGGATATTTGTCCCCTCCAAATCTTACATTAAAATGTGGTACCCAGTGTTAAAGGTGGCACCTAGTGGGAGGTGTTTGGGTTTTGAAGGTGGATCTCTCATGAATAGCCCAGTGCCCTCCCCTGAGGTAATGAGTTCATGTTGGAGCTAGTTGTTTAAAAAGCTTGGCAAACCCACCCCTTGCCCTCACTCCGTCTCTCACAATGTGACACACTAACTGCCCTGTGCCTTCTGCCATGACTGTAAGCTTCCTGAGGCTCTCACCGGAAACAGATGCCGGCGCTATATTTCATGGACAGCTTGAAGAACCTTGGGCAAAATAAACATCTTTTCTTTATAAATTACCCTCATCTACAGTACTCCTTTATAGCAACACAAATGGATTGATAAACCTGGGATTACTGACATTTATGAACCTACTTATGCCACTTTTCAGTATGCTTTTTAAAATTTCCTTTAGTGTTTTTATCGAATCAGCTCTTTTTAATTATCTTTTTATGGTTAATAAATTATATCCCTTTGCCCATTATTTACTTGAAGTAAAATTTGGAGTCTTCATTAAAAAAAAAAAAAAAAAAAAAACACCTTTTTTTGGACAGGTTTTCACTCTGTCACCCAGGCTAGAGTGCAGTGGCAGGATCACAGCTCACTGCAGCCTCAACCCCCTGGGTTCAGGCAATCCTCCCACCTCAGCCCCCTCAAGTAGCTGGGACTATAGGTGCATGCCACCACACCTGGCTACTTTTTTTTTTTTTTTTTTTGGTAGAGATGGAGTTTCATTATGTTGCCCAAGCTGATCTCAAATTACTGGGCTTAAGCAATCCACCTGCCTTAGTCTCCAAAAGTACCGAAATTACAAGCATGAGCCATGACACTTGGTCTAAAATAACAATTAAACATTATGTCTCTCCTTCTGTAGGAATTAATAGCATTAATTACAAGTAATAATCAGTTATTTAAATTTATCTATGAATTATACTTATTTTTGGCATACATTTTATTTAATACTATCTCATCTTACATTTTGGATTTTGTTTTTAGTTTTTGAAGAATAAGACGTTTTTAAAGATAGGATGGGTAAAGAGGCTGGGCGTGGTGGCTCACACCTGTAATCCCAGCACTGTGGGAGGCCAAGGCCAGCTGATCACCTGAGATCAGGAACTCCAGGCCAGCCTGGCCATAACGGCGAAATCTTGTCCCCACTAAAAATACAAAAATTAGCTGGGTGTGGTGGTGCATGCCTGTGGTCCCAGCTACTCATGAGGCTGAGGCACATGAATTGCTTGAACCTGGGAGGCAGAGGTTGCAGTGAGCAGAGACTGCATCACTGCACTTCACCCCGGGTGACAAAGTGAGACTATGTCTCAAAAATATAAATAAAAATAAATATAAATATAGGATCACTAAAGAGTAAACTTTGAATCCTCACGTTTAAAAATACCTTCAAACTAAAATACAAAATTTCAGATATAAAAAATTGTCTCCTGTCAGTTACCCTGCCTGACACTCAATGTATCCTTTCAACTTTAAGAATCTGCTCTTTTTTCACTGCCCTGGAATTTCCCCTTTTTTAAATTTTATTACTGCAGTCCCCTCTTTTGTCACTGTATTTCCTTTCTAAATCTCTATTAGATACAATCAAAAGTCTATACCAACTATCCTTGTTTTTTAACTTTCCTTTGCTATTTTCTATCTCTGTCTCTTTGTTCTCTGTATTTTGGGGTATGCATTTGACATTATCTTCTTGATCAGCATAATATACATTCTTTTTTTTTTTTGAGATGGAGTTTCGCTCTTGTTACCCAGACTGGAGTGCAATGGCGCCATCTCGGCTCACCGCAACCTCCGCCTCCTGGGTTCAGGCAATTCTCCTGCCTCAGCCTCCCGAGTAGCTGGGATTACAGGCACGCGCCACCATGCCCAGCTAATTTTTTGTATTTTGAGTAGAGACGGGGTTTCATCATGTTGACCAGGATGGTCTCGATCTCTTGACTTCGTGATCCACCCGCCTCGGCCTCCCAAAGTGCTGGGATTACAGGCTTGAGCCACCGCGCCCGGCCAATATACATTCTTATCCCTTTAATTGAATATCTCAATTCTTATCATCATAGGACTAAGACATCAACATAGAAGTCTAAGAAGCCAATTTTTATCTTGGATTCCTACTATCTTTGTCTTGCTTCCATCATTTTCTTCCTTCCTAAATTTCTTTAAATTACGAATATAGTATACATAAGAAAAATAAATAAAACCTTTATGTACAAGTTTACAACTACCAGCACGCCAGAAACTGCCAGATGCTCTAATCACCAATCCATTCCTCCCTACTCAGGAAAACAATATTCTTACTTTTATGATAATCATCTCCATGTGTTTCCTTAGTTTTTGTATGTATTTTTAATAGGTCTTTTTATTTTTTAGGGAAGTTTTAGGTGTATAAAAAAAGTTAGTAGAAAATTCCTCTCCTTTTAGGGAAAAAAAAAAATTCATAGAAAATACAGATAGTTTCCATATATCCCTTCGCACATACACCCACGCACAGTTTCCCCTATTATAATATCCTTGTATTACTATGGCATAATTGTTATAATGGATGAGCCAATATCAACATAATATTATTAAATAACACTCATAGTTTATATTAGGTTTTACTCTATGATATATATTTTATGGTTCTAACATACATAAATTGATATGGTCCACCATTATATTATCATAGAGAACTGTCTTGCTGTCCCCAAATCCTCTTTGCTCTGCTTATTCATCCTATCCTTCACTCTCCTAAACCCCAGGACACCAGTGATAGTTTCATTGTCTCCATAGTTTTGCCTATTCCAGATTGTCATACAGTTGGGATCATATAGTATGTAGCCTTTTCAGCTTGGCTTCTTTCATTTAGCAATATGCATTTAAGGTGCCTCCATGTCCTTTCACGATTGAGAGCTCATTTCTTTATATCACTGAATAATATTCCAATACATGAATGTACCACAGTTTGTTTCTCCATTCACTCACTGACAAACATGGTTGTTTCCACGTTTTGGCAATTATAAACAAGCTGCTATACACATCTGTGTGAAGGTTTTAGTGTGGAAATAAGTTTTCAACTCATTTGGAAAAATTCCTAGACATACACCTACTGGATTATATAGTAAGACTATGTTTAGTTTTATTAAAAACTGTCAAACTGTCTTCAAAGTTGTCTGTACCATTTTCCATTCCCACTAGCAACAAATGAGAATCCCTGATGCTTCACACTCTCGCCAGTATTTGGTGCTGTTAGTGTTCTGGATTTCCATGATGACACAGGATGATGAGCATCTTTTTTTTTTTTAAGACAGGGTCTCACTCTGTCACTCCAACTGGACTGCAGTAGTATGATCATGGCTCACTATATCCTCAGGTTCCCAGGATCAAGAGATCCTCCCACTTCAGCCTCCTGAGTAGCTGGGACCACAGGCACATGTTTGGTTAATTTTTAAATGTTTTTGTAGATGGTGTCTCACTAAGTTGCCCAGGCTGGTTTCAAACTCCTGGAATCAAGTGATCCTCCTGCTTTGGCTTTCCAAAGTGCTGGCATTACAAGCATGAGCCACAATGCCAGGCCTCATTTTCTTGTTTAAATTTAAGAGTTCATTGTATATTTTGTACACCAGTCTTTTATCAGATATGTGATTCAAAAAGATTTCTCTCAGTCTATAGCTAGTCTTTTCATTCTCCTATGGTGTCCACCTAAATACTCAGACTTAATATTTTCTCTCTCAACATTATATAAGTGGAAATAAGACATATGTATAATTTCCTTTCTTGCTTCTTTCATTAAACATTA